TCAAACTAGCTAGATGGCCCTGGGATACTGCGAATCACCAATGTCGGCTTTAGACTGGTCAATCGTATGTGTCGATTGCAAAAAAAGGTCCACAGTAAATGTTTTGGCTGGAATAATACCGGAATGAAGACAAACGATGGATACCGCGGCACTGTGGGTACGAGACACGTCGGGTTAAAAGACAGCAGGCAGATGGTATTCTAATTATAGAGAAAAAAATAGGCTACTGGTGTTTTAATTATAGTGCAAATTCATATCGATGGATGGCGAGGAAAAGGAGCAATAACAAAGAGAGTTATAGAATATCTCAACGTCGATTTTGGCGCAGTAAAGGAGACTAAGTTAACGAAAACATCAAGAGCACCAATAGGGAAAAATTAGTTGCTGTTCAGAAAAGGCCGAACGGTTTAACTCATACCAAGTAGCCAGACGAGACCGCAAGAGGCGTAGTCATAGAAGTTACGCCAGGCTTCGAGTGCAGAGAAATGAAAGGACCCGATATTCCCCAAGGGGGCAGCACTAGAAGCAGAAAGAATGCATACATGAACTGGCATGCGGGAGTTGAGACAGAAATCATCCAGAAGAAAAGATAGTAATATCCGAAAAAGCACACCGAAGTGAACCGAAATGTTAAAGATCCAGTCCGGATACTACCCTTGCACACTGCTCAAAGGCTGACTTCTTAAGCTGGAACACCCTGGAGTCCATGGATTTCGATCATCATCCGATCCTAATCAAATCGAAAGACAAAACCACGCCTAAACCAAATTTCAAATTTGAAAATGGCCGACTGGCCGGAGTTTTCAAAAATGGTCGAAGAATCGACCTTGCTAAATTAAACAGAGGTAAATGGTGCCTCGCGGGAGGCGGCGGAGAAAACTCTCGTGAAAATATTTCTAGAAGCCGCTAAAAGATCCCAACTCGTCACAACCCCGAGAAACGCTAAGCCGTGGTGGACGGAGGAAGTTGCGAAATCTAGAAAACGTTGCTTCAGGCCGAAAATCAACTCAAAGATCAACCAAATGGGACAATCAAAAAAGACCAAGGCAGCTATTATTCTATCAGGGAGACTGTTGAGAAAAATTAGGACAAGCATTGAGGTGTTACGCAGCCACGCTCAGTCCGCGAAACCCCCTATCAGCTGTCCGGAACACGATCAGGTCAATGGTTGGGCAAAGCAAGAACCGTCTGCCAAATAAACCTAATAACGCCTCAAACAAAAGTATGTTGTCCGACAAAGATAAGGCCATCCTAGATTGCAAGATCTATGCTCAAGTGAGCTGAGAATGTTTAACAATCAGAAAAGCCATCAAAAACACAGATATTGCATAGTTACATTATTTCTGGCTCGTTTCGGTTCTGAGGTAGATTGGTTTCGGGTAGCTGACTGATTGACAACGTCTCACTTCATATGTAAATTAACCTTATTATCTGAAACTACAAGTCAACAAAGAATATCGAACTGATATAAGTTTCGGTATTTAACAGCAGAATTCAATGTCATAAGCTACGCAAAATGAAAACATTAATAAATTAATTTTAAAACAGCGCCTGAAAAACTTGAATTTTGTTTCAGTTTTGATTTTTTTCACATACGGTACTTCGTTCACCAGAAACGCTTTCTTCTCAAAGTTGGATCTGCTTAATGAGTCCAGCAACCTGAAACCGAAGAGATCGGGACCAGATAAAATCTGCCGCCTCATGTTGAAGAACTTAACTTTGTTTTCACATGGGACATACAAGTTTGTTCATGCTCAATAAGTTTACAAGAAACCCCATTTGATGATTTACAGGTGTGACCAACCGAATTTTTTGAGCAATTTCAAATCAGTTTTAGCAAAAAATAAATTTAAATCAAACTAAATCAAAATCTAATTAAATCAAAATTGACGACCATGCTACAAGGGTTATCAGTCAATTCAATTGGCTCGGAAAGGACATCTTAAAACCACGATGAACGAAGTGAACAAAAAATTTTGAAAAATATTTTTGCAAATGCACGCTTGATCCTCAAATTAAATAACTGATGTCTCGCTCAAAAATAATCCCTATGGTTAACTAATGGTACACACATAACCTATTACCTAAACTTATAACCAATGATCTCCATCTCAAAAAAATGATCCATGTATTTGCCAAATGATTGCCTTTGTGTATCAAGTGATCCCAATGGTAAATTGTAATGGTAATGATCCCTATAAATAACTAATGGTCTCTTTGCAGAACTTTGATCCTCATATCTACCTAAATATCTTTTTGTATATCAAAGGTCTCAACATGAAATTTTGTACCAATTGATCTCAAGGTGAAGCTATAATGGCAAGATAGAGAAAGAGAAACAGTGAAGAGGGAATTTTATGTAGGGAGAAGAGAGAGAAAGAGAGGGAGGGAAACAGACAATTTAGCGACAGAGAGAGAGAGAGAAAGAGAGAGATAGCTTCACATACACCGAGACACAAAACTCAAGAATTGCGCAGAAATTTTTGATAAAGTATGCTTAAATTTTGTGGGTGAATTAAATCCCTTTAAAGAGATTCTGTAGGTATGTGCTAATGTATCTATGTCTGAATAAAAGCTTGTTTGATTGTAAAAGTGCAAGATTTACGCTTTTTAGGGTATAAAAGTAAAATTTTATGCACAATATAAGTATGTTGGTGTTTATATACGTATACATTGAGTGTAAATTGTATGAATGTATGTGGCATTCATGTATGTATGAAATATTTTAGGCGTGTGCACAGTAAAAATATGCATTCATCTAGGTCCACACCCAATTTTATCACTTGCATGTGTCTACCGTGTATATTTTTTTGTTTTGATGTGATTTGTATCTTTGCAAATATGCATGTACCTACATATCTTATTACGTAGATATGTGAATTTTTTATTGAGTACACTTTAACAAGCGTTTCGAAGCAATTTAGATACATGACATCAACTGGAGTTTAATATTGGTGTGGAACAAAGGTAAACATTTTATATATTAGTATTGATGTATGGATGAGGCCACCGAAACAATTTCAGACGTGTAACCACAATCGTAAGACTAACATCAGGTAAAACTCAATGTACTTAATGACCCCTTTTTTCTAAAACATTTTGCAGTCTTGAATAAAAACCAGATTTTGTATATTTTTTCATGTTTTAGTCCATTTATGGTCGAAAGATATATTTGCATTTGTGTTTGTATGCATTTTCCGTGAGTAAAATTCTATTTGTATGCTCCTGTTTTTTACAACTTCTTGTTTGTTTTCGAATGAGCCTTTTAGCCTTTTTTATGTCGTTATTAAACTAATTGGAAACCTGCTCTTATATCTGAAAGTGTAACTAATTTAACTCAAGTTATTCAAATTTGTCTAGAATACGCTCTAGAGTTCCACTAAATGTTTTGCCAGTACCAACTTTGTGTCAGATACATAGTAGATTCATACATTGGTTTACTTCGTATATATGTTCGTGTGTTCGTATGCGCTTGAATAGGTATGAGAAGTGTTTATATAAGTTTTTTCTTGTCTATATTTCGAAAAAAAAAGCTTTCAAGGATGTATTTTTTATTCGCTTAGACGCCAAACAAGAACTTTTTACAATAATTAGAGGTATGACTAACATATACAACATACCAGATAGTTCATATGTATGTGTGTACTTGTTCGCGTAGGTGTAAATCGTCATGTTTTTGTACGTATATTTCTGCTTGAGTGATTATAATTACTCCGTGTTTGTTTTTTTGCATGTTTTGTTGTATGTTTTTTGTATCCTAAATGTTCTTTTGCATAAGATGGTACTCATTTATATGCTTAACAAAATCTTTTTAGACGCTAAATTACCAATTACAGCTACAAAAAAAAATCCTAAACCAAACTCTATCCCTTTTAATAGATATCATTGACTCAAAATGATATCAAAAGAAGAAAATCAGAATCAAAAGAAGAAAAAAGTCTTGCTCCAAGATTTAATGCTGCATGCAAACTTGAGACCATAACTAACTTTTAAAAATACAATTAAATTAGTTGAGCCCAAATTTAAGACTAATTTGACCTCTAAAACTTAAATTAGGATAATTTCTGACTGATCATAAATTGCTCTAAACTGAGGTAAAACAAGGATATAGAGCTTCTCAGTACGACACTAGTGTGCAGTTCTTGAGCATTTGCAGTGTACGTTGAGGATAAACTAAATATCCAAATTTTTTTTTAAAACTATTAACATTTGTTATCATTTTTTTGCATATTGGCCGAAAACTGCTACTGTCTAATTAGTGAATCATTACTTGTATATTTTAGTGAATCATAGCCCGTATCTATAACTTCAAATGTAGCGAAAAAAGGAAGCAAAAATTAATTTTTGTATCTGTAAAACATCATCCGGCTTCTAGGCTTAATGTTTTACCAAATTTGCTTTTTTTTCCGTTTGTGACTGACCAAAAGATTGTTAAATCAGCGGTGCAGCAAACTCAAGTTTGTATTTCTTAAAGAGTAAGCTTGAATCAACGAAGCGGAAAAATCACTTTCCTGTTTCTTCGAAAGTGAGCCTGAAATATTGACATATTAATGGTTTTGGAAACTCAATTTTCTGTTCCTTATAAAATAAATTTAACTAAATCAGCAAAGCCGAAAAATCAATTAGCTGTTTCTTCAAAAGTGTGCTTGAAAGCTTGACTAAATCAGCGGTGCGGATAACTCAATTTTCAGTTTCATAAAAAGTAAACTTGACTAAATCAGTGAAACCGAAAAATCATTAAGCTAATTCTTCAACAGTGTGCTTGAAAGCATGACTAAATCAGCGATGCGGATAACTCAATTTTCAGTTTCAAAAAAAAGTAAACATGACTAAATCAGTGAAACCGAAAACTCATTCAGCTGTTTCTTCAAAAAAGTGCTGGAAAGCTTGACTTAATCAGCGGTGCGGATAACTCAATTTTCAGTTTCATAAAAAGTAAACTTGACTAAATCAAGGAAACCGAAAAATCATTTAGCTGTTTCTTCAAAAGTGTGCTTGAAAGCTTGACTAAATCAGCGGTGCGGATAACTCAATTTTCAGTTTCATAAAAAGTAAACTTGACTAAATCAATGAAACCGAAAAATCATTTAGCTGTTTCTTCAAAAGTGTGCTTGAAAGCTTGACTAAATCAGCGGTGTGGAAATTGTAATTAGATGTTTCTTTAATCTACCGACTTTTTGTTGCATCAGCGAAAAGTGTAGTTGATAAAGTTTTTGCCACCACCTACTATAAATATGCTTTACATAATTGTTTCACAATTCTAGCTCTTTACTGCGTGCTTTTGATGAAATCTTTCCTTCGTTAAATATTTTCTTTTCTACATCTGCTCTGGTAAGAAAAGCGTTTTTTTAAGTCAATTTATATTAATTCGATTCGAACCAAGTTTCTCATTTGGCTACGCTTTGTACAAATCTGTTTATTTATAAATTGATTTTATTATTGATTCTATGACCAATTTTTTGAAACAACTTGATTTGCTCACCTTTAAATGATCCCATTGCAAAATTGAGCAGAACAAAAGTTTAGACCGTGAACAAATACGTAAATGAAGAGCAATTCCTCAGAGCTTTCCTTTATGGAGTTTTTAAAAAATGTTTTTAAAGATTTACCAGTTTCTTAGTGGTCTAAAACTTCCTGGTTTTACCGTCTGCGTCAAGTTTAACAATAAAAGTTAGCTATGCTTTGGATAATCGGAGCGAAAAATTGTTTCATGAAAACTGAAATACTCTAAGCTAAAAACGGAATTACTCCCAATCAAGAATTATTTTTATTTTTGGATCTGTTTCTTACAATTTCACGCATCTATTCAAGTATATAAAGGAACAAGACTGCTCGTTTCATGGCGAAGCCTTGAATGTTCTGACTGCCTTTTAAGATTTATGGAGCAGTAAAAACATTAAAAAATCAATGAAGTAAAACAAAATCAGTTTTTTTTCTTCTTAAATTTGGAGTTTTTTATGAAAATCAACCCCCCACACGCCATACAAAGTACAGTAGGATAGATTTCGCTCCTTGTAGCAAACCAATTATGGCACATAAGCTTCTTTTAACCAATTTGGAACGATTTCTAAGACGGATTAACAAACCGCTTACGCGTTAATAGCGCGAAATTTATCGCGCGTTAATTGTCCCAAATTGGCCAAAATGGTAATCTTTAAACCGCTGTAACTTAACAAAAAATGATCACAGAAGAAATATCTTTTCAAATTTGAGCTCAGGACAACAATACCTTTTGAATGATGTAAAAAATTTCCGTCAAAAATGGCTAGTTAAAAAGTCAAAATTTGTCTGAAGAAAAAAAACCCACCACGAGCACAAATATTCCGTCACTTTCGTATCGAGCCGGTCGTTTGAAATTACTTTTCGTCGCAGAAATTTTCTTGAGCTAGAAATTCGTTTTTCTGCATCGAGTATAGTTTATTTAAAATTGATGAAACTGCTCTATTAGACAAAAAAACCTTGTTGAGTTCAGTATATAAGATTTAACCAAATACTCTATTATTTGAATGCAACGCTTCGTACGCCATGTTTCGGTTAATTTTCAAATAATGGTGTAAAAGGAGCAAAATTTTGACAAAAAAAAATCGATTGTGTATCGAACTCTAACCCGATTGTAAAAATTATGTAATCGTGCTTCCTGATTTATCTCCCTCCTAACGTATTTCGTGATAGACTTGCTTTAAAAATATTTACCGAAGTCTTTAAGAGTTATCGCCATTTTTTATGAATTTTTTACTTGTTAGCTTACATCTGGAATTAGTTATCATCTTTTTTTTCTTTTAAGAATGTCAGCTAAATAAATTCAGTCAATCTTAATTTTTCTCTGTAGGTTTATTCTGACGCCTTCTACGAGCAGTTAAATGGATCAGAGCTACAATTGCAGCCGCAGCGAGGGTCAGGAGCGGATTTAGGGGGAGGGGGGCGGGGGAGCGGTTGGCGGACGTTCTTTTCAGGGATTCGACCCCCTGCCGACCCAAAGGGTCCCCCTTTGATACTTTTTCAGAAATCCATTTTTGGCCGACCGACCCTAAAATTTATATACTAACTTTGAGGGGGAGCGCGCGCCAAAAAAAACGCGATTTTTTGTCAAAATTTTTCAAAAAATGGCCAAAAACGGCTTTTTTTGACTGTTTTTTCAGAAATTTGCCTGCGGCGCAGAAAATTTAGCCAAAATGGGGGCAAAACAGTGCTTTGGGAGAGCTCCAAAAATCAATTTGGTCGACTTAAAAAAAAAGGTCGTCAAAATTTTCGATTTTCTTTTGAAAATCCGGCCCCCCCTCGAGAAAATCCTAGATCCGCCCCTGGCGAGGGTCCTGTTATTACAGGAGATGTAATTGATGAAAACGTTCAATTTAAAACGGTTACAGTTCAAATGTCCAGGCTGCAATTTTGTCAACCAGACACATCATTTCAAACAGGAACCATCAACAGAAGTGAAGACCTTTCTATGCCAAAAATGTGACGGCTACTTTTTGTTGACAGAGGAGAAAACATTCGATTATCTAAGCGTGCAGGCACGCTACACTCGAACTTCTGGCCCCGAACTAGAAAAACGGAAAATCAACATTCGTTTGTGTTTTATAGTCGGTTGGAAGTTGTCCAACGAGGAAGAAATTATACGTTATCTGTTGCCTAAAATGTTTACGGTAATTTTATTGGAACAAGATGGCGCAGAAATTCTCAAGGATATTAGATACAAAAACTGACTGCTTTAATGCCAACATATCGAGGTCTGCTTCATTTCTCATACTTTAACTTTTGATTTTTAGAATTATCAATAGAATAATCAAGAGAAAAATCCCAGATTTAGGCGCAAGTTCTTTTGTAGCTACTTTCATATATCATTGAATTTTACAAACAGTTTGAATCGAAAGTAAACTGTTTAAATGTTCATCACGGAGTTCAAATACTCAAGAAAATTCAAGTTTTACTAGCATTCAAAATCTCTGGTTTGGTTCACAGATATTAAATTTTCGAATTCACACTGTTTACAGACAAGCACATGTCAAGATATGGTTCTCTGCTTCACTGAATTGAACTTTTTGTTTCAATGCTTTTTATAATGATCACTATCATATGTTTAAGAAAAGTTTTTTTTTTGGAGCTACTGATTTTATCTTTGAATGTTTTTACTATGAAGTTACTCATTTTATATCCATATTATCATTTTTAACTATAGCTTAGTGTTTCAAACGTTAGTTGTAAAACTTCTCATAAAAATCCATACTGTGTAAAATAGCTTATACTTAGATTGCATTCAATTCTATTGGAAAATCATATTTAAATTAAAATCATACCATTAAAAATCTTCTTGTTGTCTTTTTCATGAGAGTGAATGTATACCATTCAGAGGTTATTGATTCATAAATAACAGTAACCAAGAGTTAATGGTAAGCGAGTGGTATTCGAGAGTTATCAGAACAGAAACATAACTTTTTTGATAGGTTTAGCTAAATTTTACCCCACAAAAATTATCCTCAAAAAAACTATTTGTGAGTTGGGGGATTTATTTTTTTGGTCAGAAAGTTTTTTGTAGTCAGGAAGATACCTTTTTTCAGACAATATATTTTAAAAACACAGTTTTTTAATCTTTTTATAGTCAGAACTTTTTATAGTCGGAAAGTTACCTTTTTCAGACAAAATATTTAACAAAAAAACAAATCTTGAGTATTGAAGCGATGTCGCAACTGAAAAAGAAAAAAATGATAACTCAAAATCGGAGTTGTTTTTGAGTTCACCTTTCAAGTGTTAAAATGAAAAGAAGTAAAACTGTCAGAGATGTTCAGGGTAACTAAACACTTTTTAGCAGAACTATCACCAAAAACAAACCCTGAAAAGTCTCATTAAAAGTAACGCGCCGGCTCTTGCAATCTAGAAGACTTTCAAACGTTCCCTGCCCAGAATGGATAAAACCAACGTATGGCGGTAACTGTAGCAATTGTTTTGTCTGAAAAACAAAACTTCTTAATGAAAAATTTCAACTTCTTCGTAAAGAGTGATTACTCTTGCATGTTTTAGACTTGCGGAATGGCTAAAATGACAAAAATTCATTGAAGATGTCAGATACAGGTTAACAAACTACATGGATGTTAATTTCTTTCAAATAAATTGCAATGTCATAATTTTCTTTGCTTTTTTATTGACCATACACTAATTTTCTTTTTCTGTTTCTGAGAAGAATTATACTAACATTGGAGAACCTACGCATTTCTTAAGATCTGCAGAAATTGATGGCTGATTTAATGCAAAAAATACGATGAGATCGGTAGCCGTCAATTGGGATTTGTTATTATCTGCTTTAGTGGAACCTGATCTAAACTATATATTATTATTTCATAAATTAGATATTTTACCACCGTAAAATATTTAATATTAACCAATCATAATCCATCTAACTAACAACCCACTTATTTGTAAGTGCTGAAATTACTTGTAATTTCAGCACCAGAGAGATTTGAATTTAACTTAGAATTAGTTGCCTGTCCTCGAGAACTTCAGCAGCCGCAATAAAACCAGTATACTCTAGATCTATTGAGCCTAGCAGAGACTAGTTAAACACCCTGAGACTAGTAGCTATAAGAGTAAGATTAGGATCGGTATTAGACTAAGAAGTTGCACGAATCTATCCGGCCGAAAATAAGATAGCGTGACGAGCAGACGGTGTACCCTATCCGAAATTACTCTATGAGTTATAGACCTTCATACCTAACTCATCTGTTGCAACCATAAGTCTCGAATAAGACCCTAAAAACAAATTAGCTTAGTAAAAACCAAAATTAGATTAGAAATAGACAAAACTATTTCAAAATGTTGCACGACAATAATTTAATTGAATGGTCTCTACGATTCAATAGATCAGAGCCGCTATTCCGTACAATACGAGAACTACCCGGTGTTGAAAAAATACCTCGGACAAGAGACGACATGGGACTACATAGAAACTTAACATTTAGTTACATGGTCGTACGGCAAAAGCCAACACAAACCTTTATATTTAGAATTTTATTAGCAATGAATTTAGATTTTCATTTGCAAACATAAAATCTTTGAAGAGAACCTTCAATGAAAATTTCAGGCGCTAAATAAAATTATTGTTGTTCAATAACGATTGATAAAAACATCTCAAATCGTTCCTTCCTCTGCAGTACTATATAAAACATATTTGGAAAAAGTAATTAATTCAAAATGAAAACAAAAATTAGTAGCATGACAATAAATTGTTAGTAAATATAAATCATCTTGTTGTTCCAGCTTCATCACCTAAACTAAACAGCAATCATAATAGAACTAATTTCATCAAAACTAAAATTTTTATTACACTCCAGTTATTTCAAAAAGTTCATCTTAAATTTTATATCCTTTAAACTTAAATTTATTTAATCTTAAACCAGATCATCAAGGCTTTCCTTGGATCTAAATTAATTTTCTATTTTATAATTTTAATTCTGATCATCAAGGCTTATCTTTGGATCAAAAAGAACAATTTTGTTCTCCCCCACCCACTTAGAAAGTGTCTAACGACCTCAAACGTCGATTCACTACCCAACCTTTTCAAAAGACCCAGGACTAATAGGAATTTTTAAATACTAACCATTCAAATTAGGCTAAACAGTGGAGAACTTCGGTTACTCATCCTTCACTTGACCCCTCCTCTTATACGACCAAGGATAAATCTTAAGCTTAGTAAGTTTAAAATAGTATCTAACGAACTACTTCCGTTCTAATTATACCTGAACCTTGTGGATCGATTTACTAATCTCCAACCCTTGAACACAATCACTACCCCTAAGTAAAATTAAGTAAGTTAACACCTTAGCTTAGACTAGCCCCGAGAAAGTAAAACTCATTCTTCGGAATTAATATACTTTTCTCTCCAACCCTGAACAAAAAGACCCAGGTTAAGCTAACCAAAAAATCGTAAGGACTAACAGTCTAGGAAATTAAAATCACTAAAAATAACCTTGCATCCATCCTCTTAAACCTCATGTCATTGAAAAACTTAGGAAATAAACAAACAATCGTCATACACAACTGTGAAATAAAAAATCAAAATTACGATCTTGTACTAACCCCGCATACACAAACAGTTGAGTACATTCACACAAAACGACAAACAATAAAAAGAAAAATTCCAAGTAAACAAAGACAGATAACACGAAAAAGATTTTCAAAATACAGAAATGCATTTTCGGAATCAGAAGTCAGTAGTCTCGATGCACTATACAAGGTAGAAGAATCAATAAATAAAACTTATCCAATCCAGGATCCAGTATATTTTTCCGATTCAGAAACAAATTCAGTTTCATCGAAAAAAGAAAAACAGAATAAAAAAGAAATATAAACACAAACCAGTACATCTATACAATTGGAATCAACCAATTACACATATTAATAATTATATATTAACAGTTATCAAACAAAAAAATGAGCAACACTCAAAGTGACGAAAGTCCAGACGAAGAAACAGTTTTCCCCTTTATCATAAATTCACTAAATGATAGAGGACAAACAAGATTTTGCCAAAATTTACTCATAAATTTGTTTCAACAAGGAATCAGTGTAAATTTGATTTCCCAGATGTAAATATCAAAAGACAAATTAAAAAACATTATCTTAAAGACATATGTAAACTTATACAACAATACGGAATCTACACCATAGAAATCAGTACACCAAGAACATCATATAATAAATATGTTATTCAAACAGACGATATTGATTTAGAATTTTCAAATGTATTCACAGAATATATCAAAAGCATACAATATCACAACTCACAGAGAGCAAACTCGATATTCACCAACGAAGTTTTTGCAATAATATATACTTATGTATCTATATTAGAAAGAACAGAAGCTCAAAGTACATCACCAGTCCAAACATCAAAACACACAAAGGTAAGAAACAAAATCGCCGCATTCTCAACATTTTTAAACGCAAAATTTTACCAATAATGATGTTTCACAAAATACTAAACATTATTCACAAAAAACACAAGCATGGTTTACAATTGACTATTTTACACATAATATAGGTTTAATTGAACAAGCAGGGAAAAACTTTAGACCTCAAAGTAACAATGACGACACTGTCATTGCAGAACAATTAGATTACGTTTGGGACCCTGAATGGTCTCATCCATTATTCCTAAACATCCCAGCTGATATCTCAGGTCAAGCAATAGATACAATATCTCTTCACCCAGAGTATGTAAAAATAATACCATTAACAATTGATGCAACACCTTTAAATTATAATATATTTTTGCCCGACACACAAAATAATAGCTTAAATTCAACAGTAATACATCAAGAAAACCTCAATGGAACTAGAAACCTTACACAACAAGATATTCAAACACCATCACACTTCACAAATGAAGAAATAGTTCACACAACAGTAACAACTACACAACAAAGTATCTCAACGATACGTCCAAATCTTACAACAGCAAAAAATAGAAATACAACACTACCACAAGTAACCTTACAATCAACCGTAAAACCCTCGGTTGCTCCTAAATATTCACATATGGATTACCAAACATATAAACCAATGAAAAAGCCATCAAAACCACGAAAAACGTTCACAAGAAATTATTTTGCAGAACACAACTATAATATACACACTTAAAGAATACGAATTCCTGATACTTGGATCAAAACATCTTACAGTTTTTTTCACCGATCATAAGCCAATTATAATTCTTTTTACACAAAAATCAAATCCAAATCATAGAGTTTATAGATTTCAACTAATTTTAATGAAATTCCAAACTTACATATAGTTTGGACAGCAGGAAAAAACCTTGCATTACCAGACACATTCAGTAGAAATACACCACCAGAATTACTTACACGAAAAACTACAGTCAAAATACCAAAAAATATTAAATTTTATCTCGCGAACGACGAAACATCACCCCGATTAGAATGTAAATACGCAGTAAAAACTGACATTGATCAATCACAAATAAATAGTTTACAACATTTCCCACTCTATCTAGATTGCCAAATTAATAACTATGAAGTTGATTTATTAGGTACATCTACGTTTAAACTAATTCCATACTCACAATGGATAAAAAATAACAATCAGCAAAAAAAAAATCAAACAACAACCACATAAAAAAGACCTTTTTCCACTAATTGAAAAAGAGAACTTAACCGATAAAACAAATTTATCAGGACCACAAACAAACGACTCAAAATATACGATAAATCAAGTTTCTAACCTTCATGACCCACTTGACACAATTTCCTCATCATAACTAGAAATTGACAATATTTTTCTCCCACCAACAAAAAAAATTACACTTGAACTTTTGAAACGAGAATAAAATTTCGACCCTGTAATAAAACAACTTAAATCATGGCACAAATATGAAACAAAACCAGCAAAAGCTGATACCACAATTTTAGGAAACAAACACAAAAATTTAATAACACAACAATAAATGAAAATACGGAACTTTTAAAATAACAATTAGATGATTCTAAAGTTCCCTGTCTCCTCTTAAGTATGATATTGATAGCATTCAACATTTCTCTTACACAAAATACAAAAGGACACTCCGGATCACAAAAAACATATTCGAATTTAACACAAAGTTTTTATTTTCCAAACGCTCCAGTTTGGATGAAAGTATTATGCAAAGATTGTATAAAAAGTCAATTGAACAAGCCTTGTCCAAATCAAAAAACAAATAGCACAAAAACAAGATCTTAAAGGACAAAATTTATACTTCAGTCATAGAATATCATTTGACACAAAAGGACCATTTTCCCCATCCTCCGAAGGAAATTCTTACATTATGGTCATTGTTGATGCATTCACGCACTATGTAGCACTCAACCCAGTACCACACTGTAATGCTTATTACGCTTACACAACACTCTACGAACACTGGATAGTTAAATTTGGATTACTCGAAATTTTAGTAACAGACAACGGTACAGAATTAATTAATAATGAAATCATCACACTATGTCATTTATACAATATTAAGCATAAACCACATACATCTCATGCGCCTTGGACAAACGGATTAGTTGAAGGTATGAACCGTTCATTACAAAAATACCTTAGATGTATCATAAATGGAAACGATACACGATACACAGAATGGTCAACAGATGTAAAATTATTTCCCTTATCATACAATTCACAAATAACGACAACTTCAGGAATGTCACCATATGAAATGGTTTTTAATCAAAAACCAAGAAAACCAATTATGTTCACAGCAAATGCCCACAAAAATGCACAAGGACATTGCAAACCAAAAGAAGATTCAATATTCTATAATCTACCATTACACACACACATGATGAAGATCATTTTCATCACCCACAAATTCTTAAAATAGCCTCCGGTACACACACCGAATGGATTTTAAACAGAAATAAAAAACAAAATGAAATCTACTAAAAAGTAACGAAGAAATTGTTACAAAGGCAAAACATCAACAACCAAATAAATTCACGTTTCATGCCAGCCACAGATTTAAAAATTGGAACATTGGTTTTAATACCTAATTTCCAAACCCAAAAAGGAATCTCTAAAAAATTACAACCACTTCAAAAAGGACCGTACCAAATAATTGCTAAACCCACTGAAGTAACATATAATTTACAGATTCAACAAAAAAAGAAAATTGTTCAACATCGTAACAATTTATTACTTTATTACCCGAAAGAATACGCCTTACGCGAATTAACCCAATTATATTCTTTCACCGGTTTAAAAGTTATCCGAAACAATACACAAATAGAAGAAGAAACAAATGTAAATGATGATAATCATCATAAACAAACTCAAAAATAAAGCACAGTTAGCAAAGATGTAAGACCACAAGACCCAAATAAATCAGAAAAAGAAAGAAAAAATAGTAAAATGATAGAAAAAATCTTACCACAAGAACAAAAAGAAAAATCTGAACATAGAGAATCATCACGACTTAGAAATCAACCACGAAAAAATTACAAAACTTTCATCCCACAATCTAAAATATTGAAGAAAGTTGAATTTCAAAAATGAACTTTTACTTCTTTAAAAAATTCATACACATCTCAATCAATTTGAACTTTCACATTTTCAAATTAACAAGCTGAAACATTCGCCGTAATTCTAGTTCAAATTCAGCCAATAGAATTCACTCAAATCAGCCACCTTACATATCTCTAATACCAACCTACTAGCCGACCGACATTAATCTTCAGGCATATCTATAACTATAACTTAACAACCTCCAGGTCAAAAATAAGCAACTTGCTAAAATTTGACAATTAAAGTAAATATCAAGATAATATTACAACCCTCCCCTATCTAATTATGCAAAGATCAACAATATTTTCCCAACTTAGCCTTCAAAAACCCTCCAACCAAAAATGGCAAATTAGCCTAAAGTAAAAAAGAACCATGATCATTTGGCCTAAAATACAAATGTTTCAAAAATATCCCAGATTACCCACCAAAAAAAAATAAAGCAAAGAAGACCTCCCGAGCGCCATAAAATAACTGTTTTTCTACAGTTAGCTCTAATATTAGCATAATTATTAGCATAAAATAACAGTTTTTCAGGAAGCTCAACCCACTTGTCAAAAAATCAATAAATAATCCGACCACACTTGAACTTCGCACCAGCAATTCAAAAAATATTCGACGAACGAATCATTTCTTACATGTTTTTCTCCTTAACAGTCAACACTTTTAAAAACTTAATCATAAACTTTTTCATTAATCTTTTTATTCTACTTAAACTTTTGATAACATTTTTTATTGAAACTTTTGAAGCTTTTATAATCATTTTAATAAATTTTTTGCAATATATTTTTAATTTTTTACACCAACTTAATTTTTACATATTCCCAACTTTCCCAAATCATTGACCACATCTACAGGTACGATAATTTAAAGTCTATTTAAATGATACGAACAATTTTTAGTAGAAGAGATTTTTTTTTACTATTCATAATTTTTCTCACATTTTTATCATACCTAATCATGACAATATGCAAATAAGTAAAAAAGGCAAAAGTTACATTCGCCTTAGCAACAATCCTTTTAAATCTATTCATCGAAGAATATTACAATAAACATAAATCTTCCAACTAAAAAGCCTATAAATCGGACACACTTTCAAAATTGCTAACCAACCACCGCCAAAACCGTCTTCACCGACGTTTCCCCAAGAAAACCCAATAGTAGCTATAAATACCCAAACCCCCAAACATCCAAACGCATTTCATTTCAACACAACCCGTACACTTTTGAACGACACGCCCGCTTATCTGAACCACTTGAACCAGTTCAGCGACAAGCATCACTAAGTGAACCAACATATAACTTGTATCCCACATTGCAACAAGATTTAAATCGAATCCGACACATTAGTCAAAACCAAAATACAATTGAAGTAAAAAGACAGAATATACACCCAGGAAGAAACAGAAATTTTCAAACTCCTAGAATTACTTTTAGCATACCTCAATCTTCAACACCATCAAGCTCAGAAACCTTTAGTGTTACAATACCAGATACTCCAACGCTAACCTCACAACAAAGTACATCTAATATTCCGTCAGACTATCTAGGATCAACACCAACATCCGCACAAATACGTAAAAATCCTTTTAACCCCCCTAATCCCAACGAACGACTACCTTATTGGGCAACACAATCTTACCCGCAAGGAGAACCAAACTTATTAAATGACCCAATAGATACTTCATCGGATACAGCATTATCAACCTTACGAGAAACATTATCATTTCCCTCGACACCATCAATAAGTCAAATCTCACCATCGTTTTTTCCATTAAATATTCCAAACAATATTGACGCTCGATACAGTGAACAATCTACCAATGTACCCCTAAGATTAGATTGGAACACATTTGTAGCAACTCCTCCATTATTCGGACAACATAACGAAAGCAACCGACTAAACAGTTGGGCACTTAATTGATTACAATATAGACCAGATATCCGCGAAAATATCCGAGAACACAACGTTCAAATATTACAACAAAACAGTCTTCAATCTTCAATTAAAGTTGGAAATAACAGTTAAAATTAATAATATTGTACAACATCCCTATCCATTAAATCCACCAAACATAACAGCTCAAACGTTACCACCACCATTTATAACGACTGAAGTAATATATAAATACGATAGATATACAAAAAACACAATCGGAAACATAACATTTTCTAACCCGTATTCTGGATTATCATACACATGTATATTTTAAAGATACTAACATTTCAACACATCTTTTCCCTAATATTTTCCGACCAAAACACAAATCCATCTCCTTGCACAGGACCCCAGGGTTTATTAGTAACACATTATGATTGTGAAGAAAACGAACAAAAAACACTACACAAGTATGCAATAAATCAAATAACACAATGCGAAACAGAACCACAAGCTATAGAAACTACAAACTTAGAAGCAACATTGTATTCCAAAGCCCGAGCAATGACAATCACAGGATATAAGTTTACTGCAACATTTTCCGAAAAGAAAGTACATTGTTCTTAAGTTTCTCACGGGAATAAAAACCGACTTGATCACGAATCATTTTACCAAAGTAATAAAGAAAGACTTTTACATCTCAGCCCCGATGATTGTAAAAACGAACTACTCAGATTAAACCTAACAAGAAATAAACACTCAGACAGAAAATTAGTAAATTTCCAAGTCTTTGCCGACTCTGTACATCAAGCAGAACTTGAACGATATCAATGACATATAAAACTAGACAAAAATTACACATATAATGGGGCACACGGACTTTTAACTTATGATATACACGAAAAACATTGGATACCACACATTGGGTTAAATAACCCTTCAAACTGCAAGGCAGACACAAAAAATGAAGGTTATCAAGAAATAATGTTTTTTGATTGGAAAATACAACTTGAAAAAAAAAACAACTCACACGAGATTTATCAGATAACAAAACGATCTATCAAGGAATTAAATTACATTGTTAAAATGATCAAGGTTATTGTGACCCCACAACAAGAACCCAAGCAACAATCCTTGGGTTTCCCGAAGATACATGCACTACGTTTCAAGTAGCAAAAATACACGCACGAATGATAAAATTTCATGAAAAATATTTTATCGAATCAATTCCATACGAACAAGTGAACCCATCTCGCAAAAGAAGTTTTAATTTCAAAAATTCACACAAAACAGAAAATAAATTAACACGTTTTCAGAGCTATCAATAAAGAGAATTTGCATGTAAATATACAAATCCACTTTACAAAACACAATATTCAGAAATAATTGTCGAACACAAAAAGGTTTCGACATGACCAATGGAAAAATCAAGTTTGACCCATATGCAATAAGTCACCAGATAAACGAAGGAACATCATACATCCCAGTGAACTTCTATAAAAGTAATGGCCGACCTGGTGGAAAACTAACGCCATCTGATAGTAAAAGTACACGGTTACAAGAAGTATCACTTATGAATAACACCTACTTTGGAAACATACACTATGACATTCTTTTAGACATGAAATTAGAACACAATTAGTAGAATCTTTCAAGAAATGTCACTTTCTGACTTAGAAACACTTCATCATTTATGCGAATTGGAAAGGACTCAAATTTTACAATCACTCGCATTAGCAGTATTAAAAATACCCTACGCAGGATATTTATTATCAGGAAATAGATCAAATTTTCTTGATTACGAAGGAAATATTTTATGTTTTCATACTTGCACCAAAAAAAAAATCACCATTATACGTTTTCGAAGATAAGCGTTGTTATAAAAGAGTCCCCATAATCTACAAAAATAAAGTACATTTTGTCGATACACTTTCAGGATGTACATACTTTTGGGATACCGCAGTCCCATGTGGATCAGAAAATAGCCACAATGTCGTACAACTAAACCCCGACGAAGATAATTACTATCTACTCAAACCATATCCTACATTAATGCAACCACTAAAGAGATTTTCACCAGAAAATATCAGAGCTATTGCTCGCAATCCAAATTTTAACTTACAATCAATTGGAATTTATTCTAAATCTGATATACAACATCCTATTAGAACACAACAATTTCAAGAACTACTCACACAAATGGTTACAATACAACGACAATCAATCGACCAAAATTTAAAAAAACTTGCCGAAACCGCAGGATTTGCAGACATCTACACGCAAGATTACAGCGGATATTTTAAAGATATTAAAGATTACATATATTTAAACGGTGAAAATTACAGACCGCAAGATATTTCACCTATAAATATTTTTAGTTTTGTAACATTAAAAAACTAAATTCTCGCCTTTCTAGGATGTCGCTACTACATCTTACAAAGATTGACTATCTTATACGCTATGTTTAATTTTATAGGATTTCTTTTCTCACGATTAAAAGGAATCTATAATACATGTGCTATACACACACACAAGTAAGCCGCCAAGCAAGTGTAGCACGTATAATATTTGCAGGATTTTTCGGAATATTTTCATCATCAATTAACAAAATACTTTTAGACGCACAAATAAAAGATTATAACACAAAATTAGGCACAAGACCAAATACATACGACGAAGAAGATAACAATGTTAACACATCACCTATATCACCACAAATACCAGCCCTACCACAAAATCACCCACTATCATTAGTTCCCTGAAGTTTTGGAAACTTAGCAATTACACATAACCCAAATTTCAGACAAAATACAACACAAAGCCCCATTCAACACATAACGCAAATCATTCACAAGATGATAATACATATGAAAAAATTATTGAACAACTCCATACCACCACTTTTCAGTCTCAACATAATCATTTTTTTAGCCCACGATGAGCCGACAAATTGGAGACCTCCATCGCTCAAATTCCCACTCAGCCAACCTCCAAAACCCAATCCCCATTATTCCACTTTTCGCTTTCTCGCCACCCAATTTCCCAGTTATTAATATACCATCAAGCGCGAATTCAGACACTAACTCAGATATTTCAGTTTTTCATACTATCTCACAATTTAACAACTCAGACATGGAAACTCCCGATGAATTCGCAGACTCCGAACCATCTCGATCTACCCATACCCAGACCAACCCCTCAATTTCTTCACAACCAACCTTTGAACCCATTCAAACCAGTCATCCACTCCCTCTTATGCTTCCCAAGTTACCCCAACCTATACCCCATCTCTTTCTGAAAGATCAAATAATAACTCCCCAGATACTGTACAAATCTCCTCAGAACTCGATATCTTTATTACCTTACAACAACAAATGACATAACCCCATACTCTTAGCATCCATCACTTGTCATCCATAAACACATCATCAAGCCCACCAACACCTACACCGCTATCAGATTACAGCCCATCATTAGCTGAATCATCCACATCCACTGAAACATCCACTAGCACTAACCGAGCTTATCGCACTTTTAAACAAAAATTCCCAAATCACCCATTCAAAACCAAACCCGGAACAGCCAAAGAAAATTTTTGCCACCCACAACACACAAATACAAACACCTTCCTTCAAATAAACTTACCATCTTCTCCACAATACAATTTAAATACCTCTACTACTAATAATGACACAAAAAATTTTGTTGATGAGCATGCTTTAATGCCAACACTTCCTTGGACATCCTTTTACCACTATACTAATCCTCTTTTTCTACCACTTAATAATACACAAGTTGAAAATGAAAAATGCAAAAATATACTATACAAACTCACAACAACTCTAACACCTCGACAATTCACATATGTTGGATTTAAAAAGTTACTAAAAACAATCATCGCACCCCGAGCTAACGATTTCACCATTGAATATTACGATCACATCATCATACGCCCTAACCAAGATCAATTTTTAGATGAAGACCGCTTTGCCAACCCAGAACTTACCAAAAAATTTTTCATTAACACATCATACCTATTCGCTTTTAATATTTTTGATAAAAAGCTCGATCATATAATTTCCGAAGCACTAATTGACACTCAGGCATACCAAAGCTTCTACAACCATTTTCAATTATTTACACGAACCTTTCACCTTCTTTCATCACAGGAACGCGATTTGCACTGTTCCCACGATATTATGTTACGCACTAAACAGACACAAACTTACACAAATTATCGTTTTATACAAAACCACTTCGATCTACACACACCATCACGACAACCCCACCATCGTTTTCAGTTCATTAACTCAAAATATAAGTCAAAATTTTTTCTTAATTTTAAATATTGCATTAAAAATACTAACCTCCACGGCATCCTCCGTAACTACCATCCCATCACCCAAATGTACATATTTTGCCCCATCAAAAGGACCTTCCAAGACGAAGAATCAAGACCCTTAATCATCCCGCATCCATTCATAAAACCTGTTGAAATCCCCATAGTAGAGTTTATTCACAATACTAAATATAATCACACAATTTTCAATCTAATACAAAACACACCTCATGAGTTCGCAGTAGGCACCGAAGAACTAAATATCATCAAAGCACTTGATTGCTTTGGCCACTGCTACAAACTAAAATTATCATACGCATACTAGCTAAGTTACTAACAACATCCGATATCATGCAAGAAATCTTCCCACACGGCTTTTTCCCCGACGACTAAGGTAAGTATAATTGAAATACCTTAACTAATAAAATCAATTTGAATTAACCATATTCTA